AACAGATTCATCCTGGAGAGGGTTAAACCAGGCTGCTCCTTGGAGGCAAGGATTCTGAGGCTTCGTCTGACATACTTTGGACATGTTGTAAGGAGAGACAAGTCCTTGGAGAAGGACATCATGCTCGGGAGGGTGGAGGGCAGGCACAGGAGGGGAAGGCCCTCTGGGAGGTGGATTGATTCAGTGACTGGGGCAATTGGGTTGGGTGTATCAGAGATGGTGCGATTAGCACAGGACAAAGCAGAGTTTAGGGCTGTTGTACATAGGGTCGCTATGAGTCACAAGCAACTCGACGGCACATAACAACAACAACAACACTCATAAATAAAACTCAACATTTCTTATTTGAAATCACACGAAAGTCCCTGCAAATATTGAGTAATAGTTAACTCTAAATGTCACTATAAGTATATATGTTATATTAATTCACTGCTATAAAATTTAATCCCACTGATAGCAACTTGAAATGCCAAAGAACATGCTGAGCATTTCTCATACTGAAAGAACAGAACAAATTCAAGCCTTGAGTTGCAATACTGAAGGATTCTATGGACAAAATCTTTAATGAAGCCCAGAACATCAAAAGAAGATAAAAGAAATACCCAGAGTCTCTGTACCAAAAAGAATTGGTTAACACTGAACCATTTTCATACACAGTCCAGAACCAGTAATACTGAAAGAAGAAGATCAAGCTGCCCTGAAAACATTGACGAAAAAAAAAAAAAAAAGCCCTTAGAAATTGATGAAATACTAATTTAGTTATTTCAACAAACAGATACATCCTGGACCAGCTCACCAGTCAGGAGATTTGGAAGACAGCTACTTGGCCAACTGATTAAAAGAGATTATTCATATTTATTCCCATCCCCCAAAATGTTATCAAACAGACTGTCAAAATCATTGAACAATATCATAAGTATCACATGGAAATAAAATTTTGCTGAAGATTACTCAAAAACAGCTAGAAGAGCACATGCATACGTATCTTCTAGAAAGTAAAACATCATGATTAATGGAGAAAAAATTGAAATTGTCAACAATTTCCTTTCACTCGATCCACAATCAAACACGCATGGTAGCAGCAGTTAAGAAATCAAAGTACATGGTACTGGAAAAATTTGCTGTCAAGGACCTCTCTGAAGTGTTAAGGAGCAACAGTAACTATTTTAAAGATTAAAGTGCACCTGATCTAAGCCATGGAGTTTTCAGTTATGTCCTGTGTATCTGGAAGTTGGCAGTGAATAAGGATGACAGAAAAGAAATCTAAATCTTTGAATTCTGGGGTTGGAGAAGAGTCTCAAATATCCTATGGACTACGAAATGGACAAAACAAGTCTGTCTTGGAGGTAAAGTAACCAAGTTGCTCCTTCCAGGCAAGAATGGTAAAACTTTGTCTCATATACTCTGGATATGTTGTTAGGAGGTAACTGTCTTTGGGGTAAAAACTACCTTCTGGGAAAGAGAGAGAGTCAGTGAAAGGAAGACCCTCAACAAGCTGGATTGACACAGTGATAGGAAACTGTGAGCTCAAGCACAGATGGTGAGGAGGTACAGGACAGGGCTTCGTTCTATTCTGTTGCTCATGTTGTTGTTGTTGTTATGTGCCGCCGAGTCGTTTTTGACTCATAGCGACCCTATGCACAACAGCCCTAAACCCTGCTCTATCCTGCGCCAACTGCACTGCCTCCGACACACCCATCCCGATTACCCCAGTCAC